TATGACTGAGTGTCGTAAACAGTGGCGCTCGTGCATCTAGTCATTATTCCTACAATCATAGCCTTCGTGAATTCTCTATTCTCACTTTGCCACCTATTTGAACATTTCGATCTTTTCTTTAATCCTTTAACCATATGGGAAGTCATGAGACAACAACCAAAACCGGTTCACGAAAGTGTATGGTTACTGGTTGTAAAAACTGAAACTGAGATGCAGCAAATTTCAAGGCGATGCCACATTCTAACATGAGGATGCTTCTGTCCATTACATAACTTTTTCTGTTCTTCCGTGAGATAAAATTCAATCAGTGGTCAGCCTGCGACGGACACATTATCCTGATTGAAAACCTTCGGAGTATGCATGTTCACCAAATATACCAGGATGTCATTCATGTATTGCGCATTGTTCACCCTAAACGAGAATGAGTGATACAAGGGCTACCTCAGTTCTGATAAGTACACCGATAAGACAGATGTATAGAAGTTTTCAAGCAGAATGTCGGTCGCATGAAATTTTTAGCAGTAAGCACAAAATCCCATCCATGGAATCCAATATTCTTATTTTAAATCCAGTTCCCTTTAGAAATTACCTAAGAGCGAGAACAGTTATCATCACAGAACAGATTGAATTCGACTGTTTCGCGTTATTTCTTCAGCTGCATCCAAACAATCATGTGAAAGTTCGACCAGAACAACGACAAATCTCTAATCACGTCCCGATAGATTTAGCTATGAATGGCTCGAAGAATCCCTCCAGCTCTATTTCCCATCAGCTGCTGAACTGCAAAATTTTCATCGATTCAAAGCAAGCGTTTCGGATGTTCAGCCGACAGAAGACTGGATGGTTGTTGCGGTTCACGGAGGCCTTAACCATTCGTCCTCACAACCTGGACCTCTGCAAACAACTATAGACTTTGTGGTTAGCCTTGCCCAGCCATAGTAGGACTGCTACCCTGAATGCGATCGATAAGTATGCTTCTCCACTCTTCCCCTCTGTTCAACCCGAGTGTAACTGATAAACTTTGAAATTCGTATTGATTTTGCTTCGTCAAGTGTTTCGGATGTTCAAAGTTTCGTCATTGTTCTAACTGAACTTTCACATCAGTGTCTGTACACGGCTGAAGAGATAACGCGGAACAGTTTATTTCAACCTGTTCAATATTTTTCTCAATCCCTTTTTTACGCTTTAGCTACTCATTGGCACGTATTGCACAGTTTTCGTCTGAAATTAAGCATGCCGTATCGCATCGTGTATATGGTTGTTCGAACCGGATATAGTTTCATTAGGAATATTGACGCAAAAATATGCTGGGATGGAACGGAAGGTCTAATCATTTTAACACGCACTGTGTGCACATCGATCAAATTGAGGCTGTCCAGAAATCGGAATGACTGTTGGTCGACAATGCGGCTTTTCGTCATCTTGTGGCGGATTTGTCCAAAAGGTGTGCTGGAGTGCTGAATCCGAACGCATGGTCTCTGCAATCCTGACTTGCTTCATTTCGGGGCTTTATCTTCCATATTTGGGCTTTCAACTCATTTTGTGTATTGTTATTATTAGTAGTAGGCGCAGTAGTAGAAGTAGTGTTGTGCTCCTTTCAGAATTGGATAAACCTTGAAAACCTCCGGACGGGGGTATTTTGTCACACAGTATATTATTCATTTTTCACAAAGATCTGTATAAGAGTCTTTGTCTAGTGCTAAATTTTTCAAAAAGCTAATAATGATTTGACTTGAATTGATTCTGAGCACGTACACTTCACGTGTATACCTAATTATTTACTCATAACACACGGAGATCTGATGTGTCCGACAGTTACATTTTTCTCCGTCATTATGTTAGTTAGTATTTCTGACCTTCACATAAACTATGTGCCTTTGATCTGGATGAGACAAAAACTGATTATTATAAAGCTGAGGTTTTCCAGAAAAAGTCTGATTATTTATCAATAAAACAAGCAAAACCTATATCAATAGAGTTCAGATGAATCTGCGTTGCTCATAGGGGTGAGTGTAAGGATAACCGTGTGCGCTGCGCCGCAGACAACAAGTGTGCGCCATTTCTTCGCATAGAACAATACACAGTAATCAATCACAAAAGCTTTTGGACAAAAAATAACAAAAGCTCACTGTCGAGTAAGGTGAAATGTTGATGAACTTATTGCTGACACTGAATGCATTGATCAATGACTAGTTTGACATACCCGTAGCAAGNTGTGCATTTGTGTGAATGGAAATAAGTTAGAACAACAATGGGATCTCAAATGGAGGTGAAATGTTCGCAGTTTATTCTCATCGCCAAGTTATAATTTGTATTTGTATTTTACACACATCTGTGTCCAGATTGTGTTCTAAATAGATCACAGTACAATATTCCTTATAAGAAAAAAGAAGTCCACAATTTGCTAGTGGTTGGGATACTGTCAGGTTGTCTATGCCAACGCAGATAAATCTTCTCAGAGAATTCACAACCAGAGCCTTCAACTAACCAAAGCCTGACTCGCAAGGCAGTAGGGCGGTGTGCGAAAACCGCAATTCATCAAGGGTCGGTGCCCATTCCGTCGGATCATACACCCCTTGAAAGGGATGAAACGTCCAAGGTACCCAATAAACCTCGATGCCCAATCGAACCGGTGACCACTGCCACAAACAGGAAGATGTGGGTGGGTGTAGTTCGTGTGATTCCTCTTGATTGGTTTTGAATCAGGGCTTTTATCAAAATCTCCTAGTTGAACTGCCAGAAATTCACCGAAATGGATGTTGGCTTTTCATTCCCTCAGATTGAGGAGAAAACACTTCGTCACTGGAAGGCCGTGAGTAAGACTTCTCCAGCAAAGGCTATGTGAGATAACAGTTCAGTTCACTTCATTTCTTACAATCATTAACCATGCACTTTTGTACGCCGGTTTTGATTGCTGTTTTTTGGCTGCCCATTTGGATAAAAGAGCAGAACGATGAATGTTGAGAGAGGATTTAAGTTACAAGATTAATGAGTAGATGCATGAGCGCTACTGTTTGCGACACCCAGCCATATCGCTCAGATATACAATTTCACTGTCTCAAGTGCAATATTATAGCATCTTGTTTGTTAGCATCCTCACTCCTAATCTCAGGGCTTCGATTCACAGTACAGCACATCAGGTCGTTATGACTACATGGTAATCAATTCTTATGAGTGGATAACTTATTGTGGTATGCATTGAAAAGGTTAAATAAAATGGGCCCAAATTATCCTGTAGGAATACCCGGGTAAAAAATGGTTCTCACAACCATTTTGGCTCATCGTTTTTGAAACCCTGAGAAGCAAAGCATCCATGAAACACATTGAGGGTGGAAAAGGATCGGAAGGTCTTTCAGTTGTTTACAACACTGAAATGGCCTGTCAGAGACATGGCACCGAGTGCACCTGTGTGCACACCCTGATAGGAAGACGCACTCGGTCACCCTGATATCAATTAAGGCTGCTTTGACTCTGTCCTTTATGACTGATAAACCCTTTACAGGTTTTGAACAGCTGGAAGTTGCTCCTTACGTCTCCGTCCATTCTGTACACCCTGACTCAAAATTACCCTGTACCAACTATACCTTTTTCAACTTAAGATATCATAATATGAATTTAAGATGTCCGAGTGTCAATTTAAGATGTCATGTTGCTATGCTGATAGTACGATAGTGCGATTGCTCCGTCGTTTCGCATTTTCTTGTACTTTTTGTGATGCTCTTGTTGTCACGTTTAGTCCATCCGTGTTGTGAAGGCACACCTGCTGTACAGTCGAAGTTCACTGGGCCTGTCTAAGACTCGCGGCTGTAAACAAGGTGTAGTTTCTCGCTCGGGTTAGCTGGGCCAGCACCAGGCCCCTTTTTGGGGCTGAACTATCCGACCGGTAGATAAATGAACCCGATCGGTCGTGTGATCTTCGGGCCGGCATAGGCGACGGATAAGCACTGAATTCGATGCTACTTAGGTGTTGGCGGAGCATTACCACAGGCGAATCAGTTGTGGAACGATGAGCCATTTGGGAAATTCGGAATGGAAAAAGTTTAAGCGATGACGACATGGACCAACGGTTGACTCGTCTAAGATACATGTGCTATTTTTCTAAGCCCCTTCGGTAAATGGATAAGTATAATAATAAAACTTGTCTTATTTACGGACTACACTATCCACTAATATAGGCCAACGCAAAACTCTTCTTGGAGTTTTACTAACTGGCTTTTTCGCGTTAAACGATCTTGCTAACTACGGATGAGATAGGATTCTGAAAGAAAGAACAAATATTATGAAAAAATGCATATTTATTTTATAAAAGTTGTTCAATATGTTTTCCATCCTGCTGCGTGCATAGCAAAATGCGGCGAAGATAGTTTTCTTTCACCTTAGAAATAGTAGCAATTGTAATACTTTCGCACTGACCCGCCTGGGAGAATTGTTGAGTTTCAGTCTGTACAGTTTGTACAACTATTAACCATGCACTATCGTGCGCCTGTTTTGGTTGCCCATTTGGATGAACATTAGGAAAAAGAAAATAAAGGTTAAAAGTAGGATCAAAGAGAAAATTTAGAATTTCAGTGGACTATTGTTGCAGAGAACTTGAGGAGATGCACGAACACCACTGTTTACGACACTCAGCTATATCACTCAGTGTCTCTAAGCATCGGATACGTTCATACCGAGGACCCCGTCCAGGGAGCCTAACGGGACCTATGTGACCCAGACTCCTGATTAGGGTTTTCATACTCTCATGCCAGGTGTTAGCTTGATTACCCTTGGCTTTATTGATACTCGGACATCTTAAATTCATATTGTGACATCTTAAATTGGAAAAGGTGTAGGCATTTATTACCGGCCTTGTGTGCCCTAGGGGCTGGTAATTCTACTGAAATACATCTTTGTTTCTTTTCAGCAAATGGAATGTGCCTTTGCAACAAACCGTTTTCACTTACGGTCAGCTGAGCCCAGTTCACTGGAGGGAGACTAGCCCAGGCCCGTTCGAGGGAGATATGCAATCCTGCATGAAAGAAACTTCAAGTGAATCTGAAACAAAAACTCGGGAAAAACAAGACCGTCAATCTCCGATCCCTAACAAACAGACTATCAGTAACACGATCGAACAAGCCGAATTTCTGTTAGAAAGTGAATGTGATTGCGCACCGTCGAGTGAGCTGTTTCAGGCAAACAACTCCGTCCGTGGGAGAGCCATGAAGCCGGGTACGAGATTCGAGCCGCTTGTTTTTAACACGGAACTTCAAAGTGTTGATCAGTTGATCCTGACCGAGACAATCACGCAACAATTGAATGAAGATCTGTACAGCCTTAGTCCGATCCCGTTTGAACCGGGAAATGAAGGATCAGACGAAGAAGAAACAGGCACGTTCCGATATCCGTTTAATATTTAGCACAATGCATGTGTTTGTTTTATACTCAACAATGGATGAGAAGCATGCTAATGACATAGCATATTAGTCCCCTCATGTACATATCTGATCTAGTAGAAATAGTTTTCTGAAGTCTTTTAGTTTGACCAGGGTAAGTTAGCAGTCAGTGGCTGTCCCGACGACTAATGAATTCCGAAATTAGTTTCGTTTTTTACGTCATCCTTTTTTGACGGGGGCGTCAAGACATTGCTTCAAACAGGTGATGTTACCTGCATCCTTGTAACAACGAAATTTACCCGGAATTTAGTGAGGACACAGTGCAGACAAATACCAAGATATATTCACTTTTTGACAAAATGTTCAAAATCGGTTTTCGTAGCTCACGGGAAAAGAATTCCACTTCGTTTGTTCGCCGAGCTTTGCAACTTGTTTGCGAACGTTTCATCACCAGCAGAGGTGACATCATCAGTTCTTGTGAAGTGGGAGTGTTCTGCTTGATCAGTGAGAGTGGTAGTACTTAATGGATCTTTGCCATCAGTAGCTGATGGCGATGTGGTGGATATGAATCCAATAATGTAAAGAATTTGGGGGTCCCATATGAGGCGAGAAGTCGTTGTTCGATAGAAAAATCCGTGATCAGAGAAAAACTGAAGTAAGACAATCTCTGTTAACCGTCCAGTCGTGCGGGATTGCATGTGAACTGCCATAAAATCTTCTTCAGTCGTCCATAATACCCATTTGAGCACTGAAATCTCCAGCGTCTACCACGATGTCTGTTGTTCAAGCACTTCGGACCAGTTGAGAGAGGTCCTTTTAGAACTACTCCTTCATTTCTGGTGAACTACTATCAGCGGGTGCGTACGTGGACACGAGGAATAAGCCCCAACGTTCAGTTCTATAGTTATTGGCACGTACTGAACCATCCAGACGCATAGTGCAAAATCGGCTAATAACCGGAATCTAGTCAAGAAGTGAAAGCTCAGCTTTAACACCTAGCGCAATCCCGACACCAGCAATACTGCGAGTATCAGATGCCTAATCACCTGGCACATGAAGAGTGAAGCAGGAGGATGAGGTTTGATTAGAAGAGCACAAAGTGGTAGTTAAAGTAGGATCTTGTATGCGTGTTTCGGAGATGAACTTGTCGGGGTATGCCCTGTGTCAGGAGGTGTATTGCAATTGTTTCAATTTATTTTCTAATGTTCCGTTGAAACAAATCATTCTTGCTCGGTGTTACAGACAACTCATTGTGCAGGCGCTTAAGCTCCCCTGGCGCACCCCCTACACATCCCATTTTCCGAGTGGTCCCAACGATCGGATGACCTAACAATTATGTGATCATTGAGAATTCCACATCCGGTCCCAAGATGGACTTAGCCCCAGATAACCCATGAGTTTATTTTTCCTTTCTCGAAATATTTGTTTGCGTTTTTATGGTTGAATACTGATTTATATACAAACAGCGTAATATTTATTGTGATGTATTTAGCATGACTACGAATCACTGAGCTTCTTTGCCACTCCCTCTTTCATTGGGTTTCGTTTTTGATTGAGTAGTACTACCCTGTGGAAGTGTACATTTTTCCCAATCCGAGTGAGCTATCTATAAACGCTTCTCTCAAAGGTTCTATTTTAATTTCGGGAAAACAACATATTGAGGAAAGGAAGCAGTCTCCAGTGTAAATTATCAACTCATATACCTCTTTGAAGTTTAGCAATGACAAAGATGTCATGAGCGTAACAACCGTAAGTATCCAGTTTAGAGATCTTGTCTTTGGTTTATGGTTTTTCAGTCTAACCATAAAAATGCTTATAATCGGCAAATTGATAAACTCGTTGCCATACCAGCCACCTGGCCGTAAAATTGTCTATTACATACAGACTGAATGTTCATTTCGCAACGGAAAAAGAGCTATTTCAGATGTGATATTGATGTTGCGCTCCTTATCTGATTCTCCACCATGCGATCGCAAAGGTAATAAACCGTTTCAACTAGTGGAACATTGCTTAAAAGTGAGGGTACGTCCAGAGAAAATATCGTTTTGTTGTTCAGGTTGACTATTTCGACGAACTGACCCGTATCGCGTAAGCTGTATTTCACTATTTACCACATCATGACTAAATGATGTTAAGAGTGTATCGAAAAATCGATGCACCATGTGTTGTTTTATTGTGAATGTTAATGTTATAGGCAGGTTTTACAATCAATTGTAAACCCTGCCTCGAGAAAGGTTACCCACGGTAACCGAAACGTCGGCGAATATAATTCTCTATCGACATCGCTGTGTTATTAACACTGTATTTCACTATTCTTTCCGAATATGTTCTACCTAATAAACAAGCCGTTGTGCAGTTGAGTGGTGCGGAGAACCAGACATTGACATTTGGCTGATGCAATTTGGGGAGACCTTCTC